TCGGGATCTTGGGCATGCACGCACACGTGCCCGGCGTGAGTTCTAAGCGACCGGGTCCGGGACGCAAACTGCGGTCGACTACGTGGGAGTCCAGCGACATAGCCATTACGCTAACTGCTGGTTCCCAATAAAATAATTCTTAAAAAAAAAAAAAAAAGAGGTACTGGGGTCAGCAGGTGGCATAATGGTTAAGATGCTAGACTCCCACATGTCCTACCACAGTTGGAGTCGCAGTCCTAGTGGTATGAAACTCACACCAGGTGCTTGTGCAAGCATGTGCAAAATCCTGAGAGGAGAATGGAGGAGTAGGGATTGTGCTGTGGCCCTCTTTCCTGGGGGTGATTTCTTGCTTTCTCTCTCTTTGTCTCTATGTCTCCAGCAAATGCGTACATCCTATAGCAAAAGTCTCTCTCTATAATGATAAATAGAAGTACTTCCATATTTAGGGATTGTTATGAGAATTTGAGAAGAAAATGCATGGGTCTGACATGGTATGTGGCACATAGTGGGTGGTCAATAAACAGTTTCCATCCTCGTCCCTTTCCCTCCTGTACCTCCTCTATGGAAGGGTCGCCCCAGCCAAAAGGGAACCTGGGTTTTTAACTCCCTTCTTACGGTTTTACAGTTATCTCTGGGAGGCGAGGCCTTGGGACAGCAGCCAGCACAGGGGATGGATGAGCAGCCTCTCAGGGTTTTAAGCCAGAGGATTGCAGGCCCACAATGGTGAGGTCTTCCAACATGGAGTTGGGTTCTAATCCCAGCTCATCTACCACTTTCTTTCTGATCCCAATCCTGCTGTTTTTACCTTCCTGGGTCTCAGGTGATCTCTAAGTGCTCTTCCTATTTTATATTATAGGATATCTCCTTCCTCCTAAGACATAGGAGAGTGGCCTCTGGGCCATCATTGAGTTGGCCTTGACAGAACTCCTGTGGCGGTGCCTTCTGGATCCCAACAATGGAACCCTATTCCTTTCTCATTGATTTAACCTTAGAACGCAGGCCCTGGAGAAGGTGAGCCCCCTGTGGGTAGGGGCTGGGCTGCAATTTGTATGAGTCCTCCCTCATGCCTTACACAGAGCCGGCCCTATCAAAAGTGTGCGCGAAGGCCCACAAGGCACCCAGGCCTGGAGCCTCCACTTTCTCACTCTCTCCAGGATAAACACAGGGGTTAGGGTAGGGCAGGGACTGGGCTAGGAACAACTGGCATGTCCAGACCTGTGCATGCCTACGGGGGTGAGGAGGAGCAATGCAGGCTGCCATGTGGGCTGGGGAGCTGATCGGGAGTGAGGAGCCATGGCCCACAGGAAAGGAGCTGTGGTCAAGGCCAGAGGAGAAGGCCCAAGGCGAGGGTGTCAGTTCTAGCAATTGAGAATATTTTTTCCTTAAGGAAGAAATTTCTCATCCCCTATGCCCTGCCCTGTAACTCTTTCCTTGTTCCTGACACATTTTCCTGGTACCTGCCCCCTCTCCCAAATGGTCTCACAGCTAGGAGGACTTTTAAGGATGCCCACATCCGAGTACTCGCTCCCAAGACTTCTCAGGCCCACAGCTTAGCAGGACAGGGACTCTGTCCTAGGGCTGGCATGGGGGTCTGGGTACTGACTGCAGGCAGGACCAACCAAGTGGAGTAGACAGAGATGCATGTGCTGAAGACACCCATGCCCAGGCTGAGCTGGTGCCCCTGTGCCAGTCCAGAGAGGGGCTGTCTAGCCCCTCCCAGTGTCTGCTGAATGCTACGTCTCCTCTGGTTATCAAGTAACTATTCTTTGCTCAGATGCAAAGTCCAGGGCTTGTTTTTAATGACAGATCAGAACATTGCTATAAATCTGCCACAGTGGTCCTCGTCTCTGACCCAGAGCTGGGCAAGAAGTTCTACAGGATCACCCCCTTTTTCCATCTGGATTCAGAGCCCCAGCGCTTCTCCCCACAGAATCTTTCTCCCCAGTTTCACCCAGGCACCAGCCCTTGGGTCTGTTCATGGGGCAGAACTCTGAATGTCAACAACACTCTTGAGTATTTATTCTCCCTCCAGCCAGCCTCTCTCCCAAAGTCCATGAGGTTCCTTGAGCCTTATGCTTTCCTAGTCTGGGAAGCAGGGAGCTGTGAGAATATGATGATGTCCTGGGGGAAGCCTGCCCTGGGACTCATGGAGGTAGTAGCCTGCCTCTCCTTCATCTTGGGCCTTGGTCTGGAGGGGCCCTCCTGGGTCTCTGAGACACGTACACAGATCCTGAGGAGGCTCGCAGGACTCCTAGGGCCATGAGACCATGGAGTGTGTCTGCCTGCCCTGCTCATGCCCCAGCTCCTGGCCCCAGTGCTGGCAGCTACGGAGAAAGGCAGGCAGCCCTCTCAGCCCACACCTGCAGGAGAGCGGTGCCTGACTGCAGCCCAGCCCCAGCCCAGCCCAGCCCTGGACACTCACACTCCTTCATCATGCCGATGTCCACACAGCGCTTGAGCCGACAGGCCTGGCAGTGGCGCCTGTTGTCCTTGGTGATACGGCAGTCCCCATTGAAGGGACAGGTGAACAAAGCCTTCCGCTTCATGCTTCGCCTGTTGAGAGAGCACACCCTGCACTGGGTCACTGATCTTCTAGCTCCTGAGTCCTGGCTGCAGAGAACAGCCTACCGGGGTGTGACCACGAACTCCCCACAAGGCCCCAAGAACGCCATTCCTCCCACAGAGGATATGGGGCCTGTTCTAGTCCCTGGGCCACTCTTGGTGACCAATCCACACCCCACCCTCTAGACTGGGTGTGCTTGTTGGTCACTCCTGCTTCTTTCAGAGCTGCTCAGCTCCCATCGTTGCTTTTGCAGTGTCCCTCTTATCTAGTGTTTCACTTTTGGCAGTTTCAGTTAGCAATGGTCAATTGCAGTCCAAGAATATTAAATGAAAAATTCCAGAAGTGGGCCAGAAGTGGCATGGTGGTTGGGGCAACTGGATCACACATGGCTGACTGCCTGGTTTGAGCCTCAGACCCAGCAGCTTAGGAGACATGCCAGGTGTGTGTGTGCGTGTGCGTGTGTGTGCCCCAAATCCTGAGAGGAGGAGGGAGGAGAAAGGATGGTCATCCCCCTGGGGGGGGTGCTTTATCACTTTGCTCTCTCTCTCCAGCAAGTGCATGCACCCTATAGCAAACCACAACAACAAATTCTAGAAGTAACCAGTTCTTACATTTTAAATTGCATCCCAACAAGGACATGACTCATGCTTTTGTCCACCAACGTATCCATGACATATACACTACCTGCCCATTACTCGCTTGGTAGCTTAGTGTGTTATCAGATAGACAGAACACAGCATATGCACGGCTCAGTACATCTGTGGTTTTAGACATTCAGTGAGGGTCTTGAAATGTATATCCCACAGATAAGGAGAGAACTCTTACTTAATTTTACTCTACTTTCTCACTCTTTTTTTTTTTGGAGAGGTTTTCGCTATAGGGTGCGTGTGCTCGCCAGACAGACAGACAGAGAGAGAGACATAGAGACAGAAAGCGAGAAATCATCCCCCAGGGGGGATGGTCACGCCGCAATCCCTTCTCCTCCATTCTCCTCTCGGGATCTTGGGCACGCACGCACACGCGCCCGGCGTGAGATTTAAGCCACCGGGTCCGAGATGCGAACCGCGGTCGACTACGTGGGATTCCAGCAACATAACCATTACACTAACTGCTGGTTCCCACTCTTTTTTTTTTTTTTTTTTTAATTATATGAGAAGTATACAAATGAATTTTCTTAGTAATAAATTATTAAAAATACTGAAAAAATCAGCAGAGTAGCCCTCATAATGGCCTGTGAGGTATGGATGTTAGTCTCAGCTTCAAGTCATAGAGGCCAGAGATCTGTAACTAGAACATTCCCTCGATCCGGGGATAGATACGCGCACAGGTACATGGAGAAGGGAGAAAAGGCCCAGACTATTGCTCTAAACACCTGGATCACCTGCCCAGGAAGAGAAGAGTCCAGGTAAGTGGGCAGAAGCCCTGCAGTCGAGCCTGTGCTTTCTGAAAGGCAGAGGAAACCAGGGCTCTGGAAGAACAGAGAACCGCCACCTTAAGCTCAAAGCCAGCACCACCATTCACTCCAGTGTCCTGTGTAAAACTGTGTGTGTATGTGCACACATGCGCCTGCCCTTGCATGTATGTGCAAGCTTGAGGGCTCACTTCCTAACCCTGCCCTTCTCTCCACTACCACATGAACTTCAGTAGGCTGCATAAAAGGCAGCTCCCAATGGCTTCTCATCACAGGTCCCAGTGGCTCCTGTTACTCCTCCCAGACCCAGCAAGGGTAGGTCCCACTTTTTTTTGCCCCAGAGCAGGTGACAGGAGTTAGCTGGAGAAAGAAGTTGCCAGAATCACTTTCTTAATAAGCAGCTGCAGCTCTCGAGGCACTGCGAGTGTGGAGGTGCTGAAGCCTGAGAAGCGAGCCCTTTCCCTCCCTTGGACATCATCTTCTCCAGATGTCACATACTAGTGTGGATTCTCGGTTCACTGTGCCTGTGTGACTCTGGTGACTGTGTTCAGTCACCAGAACATGCACGAGGTTTGGGACAGTCACACACATCAGCGATGACCTCGCTCCAACAAATGAACAAAGGGGACCAAACCAACGAGAGAAAGTCTGCGCTGCTGTCACAGGTCACAGACGCTCAGAAGACCCAGGACACAGCTAATGGGACACACACATTTTATTGACGGAACCACCAAGATTATGACACTACCAGCAAGAATATTTAGCAAGAAGTTATAATCCCCCTGTCCGGAAGTTGTAGGGACTGAAGGCCCAGCCTTTTAGCTTCTTGAATTGTTTCCAACTTCAGAAATTCGAAGTGCTCAATGAAGTTGAGTCCATAGGCAAATAGCCCCAGGCAGCTGGCCCTTAAGCACACCTTGAGGCAAAGAAGGACCCTGCTGTTGGTTTGGACCTTGGCTATGATACCCTCCTGTGACCACCCAGGGCTCATGGGCAGATCAGCTCACGAGCAGTGCCAGGCTACCCCAAATCTAGCCAGCTAAGGCCCAGGCCTACTCCTACAGTAACTCTCCATAGAGAGATTATGAGGCAGGCTTTTGCTGGCCTTTAGGAGGGTTCTGGGTTTGCAGGGGGAGACCTCTCTGAGTATGCAGAGCAGGCCTACGCCTATGACCTGGGACTGACTTGAGCTAGGAGCCTTTCCCCTCCACAGCTTTCCTGAGGGACAGGAGAATATGGAATGCCTTGGGGACTGTCAGTTACCCAGGAATGAGATACAATCATCCCCACAGGGCATTCCTACACATTCTGGGAAGTGAGACTGTTGTTCCTCCATTACTCCTTTTCTTCCTTTCCACGTCATGGTTCTTGAGGCTTCACTTGTTACCACAAATGCTTGGGCCCCAGAATGCTCATAATTCTCTAAGCCTATGACTCAAGAACCAGAAGTTTGTAATTCAGAGCGAACTCTCATTTCCTTCTATTCTTCCTTCCAGTGAGGCACTTTGCCTGGGGCTGGGGAGCGGTCTATCCTCCCACCGCTGTGCCTGTGCCTGGCTCAGCACTTTTCCTGACCAGCCTCCAGGGCCAGGGACACCAAGAGGTGCACCTCGGCTGAACCCAGCAGGCACCTCCAGAGAGAGACAAGAGCCAAACTTCTCCCAGTGCCATGCTGGGGGCTGTGGGTGTCACAAGACCCCAGGAGGGAGTTAGTCTGAAGGCCCCTTCAGAGGCCCATCTGTGCCTCCTCAGGCACTAGGAGGCCTTCCTCTGACCCTCACTGGTGGGTAGTTCCACTGCCTGCAAGGTTGCCAGGAAAGAGATAATGGTGCTTCACTCTCTTTTAAAAATCTTCCTCATATTGTTTTAATTTTGAAGTCCAGTTTCAGACTCCCTCACACCAGGAAGTTGGAGATAACCACTTGGCCCAACTTAACCTGACAATAGGAATAGACTCTAATGAGGCTGGGGGTAGAAAGAAAAAAATGCAGAGCTGGGTTAAAAGAAAACACTGGGGCAGCGCAGTGGTCGAACCAGGTGCTCTGTGAGGCCGATACACATAGGAGGGTTCTGGGTTTGCAGCGGGAGACCTCCCTGAGTAGGCAGGGCAGGCCCACGCCTGTGACCTGGGGCTGACTTGAACTAGGAGGGGATCACTGCATCAGGACTCTGTGGGCAGTACTGTGTCTCTACTCTCTTGCTCATGGAAAGAGTAGGTTAAAAGGGTTTAAAAATTAAATTAAATTAAAAGCCTTGAGCACTTTCTAGGGGCCAGCCATCATCTCACAGCAGGACTGAGACTTGGGGAAGGACACAGCCAATGTTATTCATGCCTTTGCCACGCCTGGCCTTGCAGTATGTCTTCACATTTGAACAATGCAAAGGCAGCCTATAAACTTATGAAACTTTTAAATTATCATCATTGTTAGTATTAAAAACATGGTAACCAGGTCTTCCCTGGCTCCTGTAAGTACAGAATAGGACCATGACTGGGAAGATGGAGGTTCGACATTATGTAGAACACCATTGCAGTCGGGCTATGGGCTCTGTGAGTGTGCAGGAATGAACTGTTCACTTGCTGGTCCTAACAGCCAGATCCGAGTCCTTCCCAGGACCCCAATTCCAGATCTGGCTTCCTAGGTGTCTGACCCAATATGGCTGTTTTCTGGCCTGCAAATCCTATGGGCTCACAGGCCCTGTTTTTTTCCAATCCTCCTGCCTTTTCAGGCCCTTGCTCACATGTGGCTGTCATCTAGCCTCTGCCCACGAGGAGTCAGGGCAGTCAGACCGCTCAGTCCTGCCTCTGTGTTTTGTCTGAGGAGCCACACCCACCCTGCCTTCCTCCCAATGCTAATTGCCTGTGAACTGGTTTGGTTTGGAGAAACAAGAGCCTTGGGTTTCCATGGGAGCCCATTGCCTCAGCTGCTCTCAGAGCCTGGACCCTATCATCCTCTGGATGGTTAGCAATTACACCCTAGCTCAGGAAGGGGGGTAGGGTGGTGCAACCAAGCTAAATATAGACACAGTTTCTAGAAAGCCAGGGGGTGAGAGAGGACATTGACCGATTCTCCTGCCAGAGACCAATTCATCAAAACATGAAGGAGACATGAAGCTCACAAAAGCATCAAGCACCTGGGGCCCGGGCCTCAGGCCTGGGACAGATAGCCTTGTCAAGCAGACAGGGCTCTGCTTGAGTTGGTGGCTTCTGCCAACAGAGTTACCCACTCTGTATAACCCATACGTGGAGTCCAGTACCTCCTGTGGTCTCCATCTCCACTATAGATGAGTGGCACAGAGAACCCAGGGCCAAACCAGGACACATGGAGGAGCTGGATGGAATTCCTAGTACCAAAGACCTACTTGAGGTGAGGGACGTCTTAGCTAGATGGTGGTGATCATTTCACAACACACAAGTACAGTAAAAAACATTGGGTTGCACACCTTAAATTCAGAACCTAGTTATTTGTTAATTGTGCCCCAATCGTGCTGGAGAAAAGAAAAGACACCCAGTAGGGGTCTACGTGGTAGATTACAGGTGGAAATATCAAATTGTTCTCACAGGTGGGTTTAAAAACAAAC